TGCAAAAACATCCTAAAAAAAAAAAAAAAAAAAAAAAAAAAAAATCAGACAACCTAAGCCAGCCATCAGAATCCTGGAATAAAGCATGCTATAAATGTAATTTTTTTTCCAGGTTTGAATACATAAAAACAGTGTTGTGGAAGCAATGTTGATTTTCCTCTTTCAGTCACAACAACTAAATAAACTAAATATTACTTATAAATAATATATATAATACATTTAATATTTAAACATATTTATTATGTATGTATTATTTTAAACATATTTATTATGTATGTATTATTTTAAACATATTTATTATGTATGTATTATTATTTATTAAACATTTAATACATATTTAATATTTGATATCAATTATTCAATATTTAATATACATAATATTAATATATACATGTATAATATATCACATATCATATAATTAGATCATGGGTTGGATGCAAAGAAACTCATGCGTTGCAACAAATGCATACAGTATCTCAAATGCATTACTGTAAATAATATAACAACAACAATACATATTTTAGAAAGACAGGTATTTTAGAGTGGGAACATAAACATAGCAATGTAGAGTTTTGTTGTGATATACCACACCTTGCTTGAAAAATCCGCTTGTTACTCAAAAAGCGACTTTTTTGAAAACAGATGAACCACTGTCACAAGTCGATAGCATTGCTACTGTTTCTTTAAAACTTTATTCTGTCGTCCTCTCCCTCAGTTTATACTCCAGCAACTTGCTACCTTCATTCTGTCATATTAAGAGATTATGAGCAGATTTGAGATCACAATTAGACCCACACTGCGATTTCAACAGGGTCAAGCTGCCTAACCTCATTAGCTAACTTCCATCTGAGAAGCTCTGGAAAAAACAATTAGCCATGGGTTTCTCTTTCCATTCCACCCCCAGTTTGATTCGGGGAAAAATGAAGTTCTGTTAGCAGCCTGCTAGAAAATTGTCTTCTGGGCTTTGGAGGAAGCTGCAAAGACTAAAGGCTTGCATCTTTGGCCATCCAACAAAAGTGAGCAATCAAACGGCATTAAGAGGTCGACTAGATTTAAAATGTCATGCTAAAATCCTCTTGACTAGAGTTGTGCTCAAAATCTGGATGTAGATGTTAAGGGTCAGCGAACCTTTAAATACAACCAACACATTCCTCAAACACAATCACAAATACACACCCTGCTGGTCATCGGCCCAGATAACCATCTCCCATAATCCCTTCAGAGACTGATGACTTTTTGACCTGCGAGCTCTCTGCCCCTGTATCACTGCACCAATCAGTCACAACGCAGCTCAGTCCTTACCCTGCTGATCGGGACTCGGATACAGCCTCTGACTGACAGCTCAAATGGGAGTGAGTTGGGGGTTAAAGATAAGATGTGATGAACCTCTTGTGATGGGAACAAGAGAAGAAAGACTTCAGTGTGAATATCCCCACTGTAATCTGGCAAGGCTGAGCATCATTTCAGACGGATCAATGTGACTCCTTTCCATCAGAACACTCTGAGCTCAGAACAGACTTTTGCAGTTGGGTCTTTCAATCTTTCTTTGTTGTTTCTGGAAAGCACTTTGTAAACACTTGCAAAAATACTAATAACAACAAAATTAATATTAATGGTCTGCTTCATATAATAATAATTTATATTATAATCATTAAATAATTCAATATATCAGACAGTTAATAATGTAACTATTATAATAACATAACATTTAAATAATCTTATTATTTAAACATCTCTTATCATATTTCTGGATCTGACTATTCATTTCTGAAAAGCACCTTGCTTTGTGACACACTGTAGGCAATGTTGTTAATGTTTTAATAATAATAATAATAATAATAATAATAATAATAGTGATATTGCTATTATTATTACTACTACTAAATTTAAATAATCTTATTATTTAAACATCTCTAATCATATTTCTGGATCTGACTATTAATTTCAGAAAAGCACTTTGTAGGCAATGTTGTAAAATGTTTTAATAATAATAATAATAATAATAATAATAATAGTGATATTGTTATTACTACTACTACTACTACTACTATTATTATTATTATTATTATTATTAATAATAATATAACTTGACAATATCCAATAAAGATACTAGTGCAAATTTTGTCAGGCATGTTCTTTTTTATTATTATATCCATTATTGCCGATAACCTCTGTTCTGATTAAATAAAATTGATAATGATAATTATAATTATTACAAATAATAATAATAATAGTAATAATAATTATTATTATTAATAATAATATTTTTGATAATTTGACATCATTCATAAGATGCTACAACACAAAATATAATAATAATAATAATAATAATAATCTTTGAATTGCAGACATATTCTTCATTATTAGTCAGTTTGTTAATCTGACTAGTCACTTCTGGAAAGCACTTTGTGAACAAAGTTTAAGTTGTATAAAATGACATTGACATTGATAATGATGATGATGATAATAATCATAATAATAATTATTATTATATTAATTTGACAACATCAAAATATTATATAAATTTTGATGGGGACAAATGATTGTTTTTATAGCAGTTAATCTTCAGCTAACTCTATGACTCTGTGGTCTGATTCCAGATAGCAGTCTGCCTGTGACCTGCTCCACAGCAAGGGTGTGTGTGTGTGTGTGTGTGGGAAGGAGGGTCAGGGC